GCATTTCTTTAAAAGCATTCTATCGTTTTCTCTTTACTTTCTTTCTGATGAGATTTACTTCTGTTTCATTACTTGAATATGATTGAAACTTTTTTCTTATAAGTAAAATATTAATTTATACAAAAACTATGGTATATTGATTGAAACTCTACCTCTTTTTCCTACAGTTAGAAGCAATACTGCAGTTTCTCAAACGTGCCATTGGGCTAACTGAATTAGAATAATTTAGGGGAGCTTTGAAAAAATCTAGTCTGAGTTGGTTTGGGTTCAGCCCAGTGTCTGTATTTTAGCAGTGCCCCCTAGGTGATCCTGATTGTGCACTGAACTTCAGGAAGTGCCACCTCTGGGTTGGTATCACTGCATTCTGCTGTCTTCCCATTCAGCTAGTACCTCTCTAAATCACTGGCTTTGGTCACTGGTAAAGTCTTCTAACTAACTTCCCGACAAAGATGTCGCTGTCTTCCTTTACTGCCCTCGGGGTCAGAGAATACTCACTGGCATAGGGCACAGTCAGGAGATTGGACCTCACTCTACTCACTCGAGCCTCAGCAGTCCTCTCCAATCCACCCATGTCTTCGTTCTAGCAATAGACTGTGACTTTCTATTCTCTTACATGTACCAGTTTATTAAGCTTCCATAACTTTGGAAATGATGTTACTCTGCCCACTTCTTCATATGCACTTCATATTCACAGGCCTCATTTCTACTTATAGTCAAGACAAATGAAAGCATCACACCATGAAAGCCTGTGCTATTTTCTGCTGAGTGAGGTTCTATGCTTTCATAGAAATCAGCGTATCAGCCCATATAAGATTGAACTCTGATAAGTATTTTCATTTGTATTTCCCCCCTAAAGTAAAGAGCTGTGCATTTCTGTATGTGTAGCACTTAGTAAATGTCTGGAGCACAGTAGGCACTCTGTGAATACATTTTTTAAACAAATAACAGAATAATTAATGAAAACCAGAAGCTTTTTTTGATTATTGCAAAAATGGCTTAGTGATATTAAAATGGGCATTCAGTAGTATAATAGAAACAAGAAAATGGCTTTGCTGATATTATGCCACAAACTTTGTTCTGTTTGATGAATAAACATTATAGTTTTTCTGATAGTTTATGTATGCAAACATTACTTCTTTGAAAATATTAGGGAAAAATTTCCAGGTGTGATGGCATGTGCCTGCAATCCCAGCAGCCAGAGGTGGGATGATCACAGTGAGTTCAAGGTCAGCCTGAACTATATAGCAAGACCCTACCTCAAAAAAAAAATCAGAAAATTAATGAAAGTATAGCTAAGCTGAAAAAGAGACTTAAAGTACCATGTTATTTTATATTTGGTTGCCTGGAAGTTTCACATATCTAACATGTTAAATTTGGTTCCATTAAATGTTCAGCAGATGTAATATTGTGATTAAATTTATCCAAGAGAACTTCTGCAAGTAAGACAAGGGTAAGTCTATCATTTATTTTGGAAAGGAAATGGCTCTTTGCTCTGAGGCAGCCCTACATAATATTAGACTTTAAATGAACAGAATGTGAACATGCCATTAATAAGCACATGCCAACTAAAAGAGAAGAAAGGCCAGAAGGAGTAGAACAAACAGATGGAGAACATATGCAGGTCATAGTGGAATGGAGATGGCATCATATGGAAAGTTTCATTTGGTGATATCCCAGGTACTTGCTTCACATTTTTATCTTCTCATGATGAACATTTTAATTAATAACTTTGACAGAGACATATGGGCAAATGTATATGTGCCCTAGAGAGGCATTGCAGAGATGATACCGGACTGAAATTTTGAATAAAATGTTCCTGACCATTGATCAAACCAACTAAATGATGCTTAATACATAACTGTGAATTTTTCTGGATAGGCTACAAACTAATTTTTACAAGGACAGGATAGCAGTGACTTTGTTCATTGGTTCATTGTTCAAATGAAAAAGACCATAGGGTTTTAATTGATCCCCAACTAAGTAGAAATCCTCAATATATTGTGAGAGGAAGCATGATGTGAAAGCCCATATACATTTGTTCTCTGCATTGTGGCTGATTCCAAGGTCACTGTACCACTTAGTCACTAAGGCCAAGCCATGGATCATTGGCTTTTAATCTTTAAATTGGTATTAATTAATAAAAAATGTAGGGGTTATTGTGAATATAAAATGAGATAATGCATGTGCAGATAATTAGGCAAATGCTAGTTTTTATGTTGTGAGTGCTGAAAATTAACACAAGCATTAGACTGTTTCAGTGGTGGTATAGTATTGAAAACAAGCACAGGACAAGTTATGGTGGGCAATGGTCAGACCAATTAATTACACATTTGATGAGGGTGGTGATTATGTCTGAGTCATTTTTCATTCTCTAATGCAGTGCCTAGCACCTCTGTGATCTTGAAAAGAATATTTTGAGAAATAAATTCATTTGGAATATTAGATGTTGAAGGAGTCACGTTTGAAGAGACAAGGGAAAGTGGCCAAGACAGAGATTTATCTAGAGAATATTGTACAAAGATTAATTAAAACAAGTGATTATATATAGCTGGGGAAAAGACTCTTGTATAAAACCAAATCAACAGGAAAACATCTAGGAAAACAGAGTACTATATACTTAATTTCTTTGTGAAAACAAAATCAGGAGAAATAAGAGAGTCGGAATAGGACAGTAACTAAAGGAAAATCATGTTTTGTTTTTCTATCAATACCTCTAAAAGGTTATCGAATGTGAGGGCCCAGCAATGATACAGATCTTCATTTTTGTTCTTTTTTCATGAGCTTTGTTCCTGTGAGCAAGTTATTTATCCTAAACCCCAATTTCCTATTCACATGTCAAGGAAGATAGTCATGACCTACTTCCTGCGGATATAGTGGAGGAAAATGATACATGCTAAGGATGTTTCTGCTGGGAAAATGTCGTAAAACTACTCACCATGCCTATGTTTCAGAAATGACACTAGGGGGAGCTGGAGAAATTTTTGGAAGAATTCAGAACTGTTGTCCAGGCTGGACGTGGGAGAAGGATTTTAAAATCTTTGTTGTTAAACTTGTCACCTCTACGTATGTTAGTTAAGTGGCCTCACAAGATTTGGGTGTACAAAAAGTTAATGAACTACTCATTTTAAGATGGATTCTGGATGGCAGGGCTGTGAAGAGACAAAGTTTCTCAGGGATGGAGTTGGGGCTCCCTCATCCTCTCCAGGGCCTCCTCCTCTTGGCAGTCCACTCCTGTGATAAACTGAGGCCCTCAGGTAGCTCTGGCAGTGCCTGTGACATTTCGCCCATTGTAAGCTTCACTCTGCAGCGAGCACATTGTCTTCAAGTAGATCAAAGTGTTTACATTTCTCTATTAAATAGAATCATAAGATAAGTTTGGAACATGATATCCTTTCAGGTTCCCAACAGTTGTGTATTTAACCCTTTAATATCCAATAAGGATTAATCAATCCAGATTTTAATTTAACTTTTCTAATCAATAGGAAGGTATCTCTTACCTTGAAATATCAGACACTGAGAATAGGATAACATAAATGTTTTGGGGAAGAAATAGCTCCCTAGAATTCATCAAATCATATTGCTGATAGGTCTCTCTAAATAACTCTCATTTCTTCTGCTAACAAATTAGTGATAAATATGGAACATATGACTTTTAGGCTTTAAATTCCAAATTGGATAATAAAACAACAGTGACAAATTTATTTTCCTTGGGTTAAAAATCCACTTAGGTACAAAAGAAGGAGGAGGAGGAGGAGGAGGAGGAGGGAGGAGGAGGAGGAGGAGGAGGAGAAGGAGGAGGAGGAGAGAAAAAGAAAAATCCCAATTGGAATTTACATGTGAAACTAAAATGGGCAAAAGTAACATGCCCTTGGCTAAGATAGCAATGACCACTGTATTATATCACCCTCCCAGGAAAGGCTGTAATGATTCTAGTGATCAGTGATCAGTAGTTAGTAAGAAATGAGTATGATTCAACCTGTTTTTCCTGTTTTCTTCTCTGCAAAGCTACCTGTCTCATATGAATCATTTTGTCCATTGTTAATGCTGAATGTGTTTACACAGTTGAATGAATAGATTCCTAAATTTGGTATTTGTACAATGTTCGCTAAACTTGTCTCATTAATTTAGAATTTGTTTGAGATTCTCATTTGAAATCTTCAAGAAATTGTGATCCTGCAAGTCTAGTAACCCTTATTTTTAAGAATCCCTCTGTTTTTGGTGGCCATGCATATTTCAGAAACTTGATATTAAAAAATCTCTTTTGGCATGGGGTTCAGTTTGAATTGGCAATATGCATATCCTGGATGACTCTGCCATTTCCCTGACTGGCCAGCATGTAGGAAGAAGGCTTTGGATGCTCTCTGCTAATATGAGAGTTTGCCCTTCATGGATTCAAACCTTTTTCTCACCCCTGGAATGTTCTCAAGTATTTTAATTACTCACCTAGATATACCTGATGCATGATCCTAAAGTTACCATTCCTGTGTTTTGAACAAGAATGCGAGTTTTGGGATATATATAAGGAAGGCCATAGCTGCTAAAAACTCATATAGGAAATAAACATTTTTTTTTTTGTCAGAATAAAATGAAGCCAGAATTCCTAAGGGTCCACATTCTCTGAAGAAGCACTTGGCTTAATGATTAAATAGAAGTGGTATCTTGAAGAGAGTCCTCACTACCATGAGTTACAAAAGTATTCTCCAAGAGTATGTTCTCTAACTAAAGTATGAGAGAATGACAGAAACCTGTGTTGTCAGACAATTGCTCATACAAAAGAAGAAATCCTTTACATATCTTGGCTGGCCACCTCCATTGGTATGATATTGACCTGGGGAGAGGGGCCAACCTATGACTTCAGTTCTGGTATAGCTGTGTAAAAAAATTCAAAATGAAATCAGATCAAAGTTACTTAAGAAATTGCTCAATAAGTCCCTTTAGTAGTTATGATTCACCCTGAAATAGCAGCATAACCTACTTAAGAAGCAAAAAATCTCACTTACTTTGAACCTCCACAGCCCTCCGATATCTTCAGTCCTCTCAAAGCAAGTGGGCTCAAGTCCCTCATCCACACAGCATTTCAGGGAGATCAAGCCACTGACCCCAGCTCCAATTACTGCCACCTTCTTTGCCATTGTCTCCTGTCAAGGAATTGACCAATCATTAGCATTTAACTGGATAAAAAGGAAAGAGAATCCTTATGATGTGGTCAAGTAACCCTTAAACATTGTATCCATGGTAATTTAGTAAGCAGCACTCATTGAATATGTAATGCTTCACTAATCAAATTCAAGTCTTTTTGTCCCTTTGAGAGAAACTGAGTTTTCTAATAAATAGACTTTACTGCAAAACTTGTTTGCAATGTCTTTAACATGAAAAAGCAACCATTTAATGAGACAAATTATTTAATGACCTATTATTAGGCATATGAGCCCAAGCTCTAGTTATGTTCTTTAATTAGAATTCTGAGAATTTCCTTCTTTGTTTCCTGCCCCAGCTATCATTCTTACCTGTGTTTTTGTCTCTTAGCACTGTCTTTTTGACAGAGCAGTTTCATCTGTTGGCTGTGTGCTGGCAGACAGGAGAGTTTTTGAGTTGGAGGTGACTGTGAGCAAGAGGAGGAACGTTTTGCTCCTCCTTCTGCATTCCACCAGCTGAACCTCTAAGGACTTCCTTAGCCATCCTGAAATTATGCAAGAGGCTCACATCTTGAGGTCAAGAGTAATGATGGAATGTCCTTAAAATAATAGCATCTACACTTAACACTTAGCACACAGATGGCTTACATTTTTTATAATGGGAATAATAAATATGCATTGACAAGTTGATAAAATTGAATAAATTAAAAGATGTTAAAAATCATCTCTAATCTCACTATCCAGAGACAACTGTAATACTGTTACCATTTTGGTATGTTCTTCCATCCCACTGTACACACATGTATACAAGAACAAAAATGGAATCATACTCTAAATGATATTTCCAACTTCACTTTTTGCTTTCCAGGATACCAATAACTTTGTTACCTATGGGAGCATTTTAATGGTTGCATGAATTCCCTTTAGCTAATGAGCATCTCTGTGTGCTAAGCACTATTTCTGGCATATCGCTGTGCCTGTATGAGATGATTGTTTCCCTCTTCTCATGGAATTTGCATTTTTGCTCTGGCCTGGTTCTTTCAGATTTGATGAATTCTGGATCTTAGCATATTGTGATATGATTACCTGTCCCTAGATTGCTTACTCTATCCAGACCTATATCTTGATTTTTCTGTTTCTATGAATGCTGGCTTAGATAAACCTACTGGGACTTCTAAAATCTTACTATTGATTGCTTGATAGGTATATAACAAAATTTCTTTTGTTTAAAATCTCAGAATGAGCATTTCTTAGAAGGCTAACTCAAGAATCTATAAAGTTCTTTTGCACCTTGGAGATAGTTAAAATGATAAAGGTGAGGAACTTTTTTTCCCATCCAACAAGACCAGTGGCTCCAAGGAACTTGATATTTTGCATAAATTCATTGGATAAATACCAGTCATTTCTTAGGTGCTAGACACTAAGTGCTATAGATGCAGTTACTAAAAAGAGAGCAAACTCCTTGACATGTGGACTTAGATTTCTAGTGCAGAGAGCCTGATAGTCAATCAAGAATATAAAATATTAAAAAAAAACAGTAGATGATGAGAGCTATGAAAAAAATAAAGCAAGGAAGGGAGCTTGGGAAAATAGAAGTGAAAACAGTTTTATAATGTTCAATAAGGTATCCAGTGGGCATAGTTTTCCATGGAATTTCTCAAGCTGACTGTGATTACAATGAAAGGCTTTCTCTGTTCATGCAGTAAGTGCAGCAACTCTACGAGAACAACAGATAACAACGAATGGCTAAGACACAAAAGAGCTGAACACATTTCTCAGTTAAAAAAAATTGTTATTTCATTTACAGTTCTCAAATTTCATAAATAGACTTTGAGCAGTTCTCCAGTTCTCTCCCTTCTCTAATTCGTTATGATATCCAAGACTCCATGTTGGTAATAGTATGCCTGACTATCATACAGAGAAGAGTAAACACCTAGACAATCTAATGAATTTAACTGTCTGAACCCTTGGGCAATAGCAGAGGCAGATGACCTGGTTCTCCCCCAGAGGTCACCTACGTGGAGACATTAATGCCATTTTGTGCCACACTGCATACATATCTGTGTTCACAACAGCATGCATCAGCTCACAGATGAGCTGTAAGACTCCTGGCCAGTTCTCTATTAGTAGGCTTTTACCTTCTGTCAAGTTTTTGTTATTATAAAAATACAGTATACTTTTGGTACATCTCTTCCACACTTACCCACTCATTTTCTTGACATAAATACCTCAACTAGGAGTTACTGAATTAGAGTGTGCATGTTTTAAAGTCTTCAGTGCTTCTCAAACTTTAGTATGCACAGCAAGCACGTGGAGATCTTGTTAAAACGCCCACATGGACTGAAGTGGACTGAGTAGATATGGGATAGCTCTAGGAGTCTATATTTCTAACAAGCTTCCCTGTGATGCCTTAGACCATATTTAGAGTTGCAAGCTTCTAAGGCATTTTGCCAACTTGCCTTCTAGGAAACAGATATATTTTAATAGTATTTTATGTTTACCAAGTGTTTTAAATTGTAGACACATTAATTTATTTTACTTGTTTAGCAGTACCGGCATTATCACCCATTCCTTTTTTGTTCATATGGGGACAGGCCTGGTAGTTACCATACCATGACACTAGAGAGATTGCATAACCAGGATGGTAGTAAGCTTCTTAAAACTGAAGAAACTTTTGGTGTTTAGCCATGGTGTTTCCATGGTAATTGCTGAAGAAGTCTGCTATATGGAAAAAGTCAGAGAATCCCCTTCTGTATAGAATCAAAAATCTCTATAGTACTTGTGAATCTTTCACTTCCAGTATTGAAACAGAGGTTAGGTGACTACTTGTTAGTGAATAATACAGGGGTTCAAGTAGCATGTGAGAGAATGAATTGTTACTAGGTAACAAAAGAGTAGAGCATCTGATATCAGGTATCCTATCATCATTTAAAGTTCTAAAATAGGTGTGAAGAAGCTTAGGAGACTTTAGATTGGATCTGAAAGTGTCCTGGTTACTGAAGGAGAGTTGTCATCCATACACAGGGCCAGGGGTCCTGGAGTCATCCCCTAAACTATTCCTGAAGAGTTCAAGTTCCCTTCCTGTGGATACTCCTATAAGAATAATGTGGGTATCAACCCTGTTATCTCTTCTTTCTTCATTTAAAACTTATCGACTACAGATTTCAACAGAAAACTTCTTGAAACTATGTTACACTTTCTAAGGAGCAAGGAGCCAGGAGCACATATTCTTTCATTAGGTTGCTTTTGAACTTAGGTAAATGACAAACCAAACTGGTCTTCTTGTCCCTTGACCATGTTTTCTGTTTGCAGTCTTGTCACCTGCTGTGTGTGTCCTATATTTTCTGGGGTCATTCCCTTTGTGATAATCCCTCTGGAGCTTCTGGACCTAAGAGTGAACCAAGAAAGTACCCTTACTTACCTTTTTAACATCCCACTGAGATGGTGAGAAACTTACACAAAAGCAGTGAATTTATAACGGCACATTGAGAGGGAAATCGTCCCTGGGCTAGGTGTTTTAAAAACAATTACATTGAGGTATAATTCATGCACTATATAATTCACCCGTTTGAAGTACAAAATGTAATGGTTTTAGTATATTCACAGGGTTGTATGATCATCACCACAATTTTAGAATATTTTATTACCTCTCAAAGAATTTATGTGTTTATTTTTAGTCACTTCCCTGACCCCCAACCCCACGCAAGTATTAATTTCATTACCTATATATTTGTCTATTTTTAATAAATCATATAAATTGAATCATGCTGTCTGTGTGTATATGTGTGTGTGTGTGTGTGTGTGAGAGAGAGAGAGAGAGAGAGAGAGAGAGAGGCTTTTTTTTACTTAGCATAATGTTCCAAAGCTTTATGCATATTGTAGAATGTATCAGTAATTCATTCCTTTTTCTTGTTGAATAATATTCCATTGTATAGATACAACACTTTATTTATCTATTTCTAAGTTGACAGATGTTTGGGTTGTTTCTACTTTTTAGCTTTCATGAGCAATGCTGGTATCTATATCTATATTTATATCTATATCTCTCTATAAATATGATCTGTGAAAGTTTTTGTGGAGACATTTTCATTTCTTTTGGATATACGTTTAGGCATGGAGTTGCTGAATCATATGGTAACTCTACATTTAGCAATTTGAGGGGATGCCACACTGTTTTTCAAAGGAACTGCACTCTTTCACATCCTCACAAGCAGTGTATAGGGTTCCAATCTCTCCACATTCTCTCCAATACTTGCTCTTGTGTCTTTTTGGGGTATAGCCATCCTAGTTAATGTAAACTGAAATCTTACTGTGTTTTAAATTACATTTTCCTAAGGACTAATCATGTTGACAACTTTTAATGCACTTGGCCATTTTTAGATCTTCTTTTGGAAAAATTTCTACTCTTATCTTTTACCTATTTTATCTTGCTATTACTGAGTGAGACTTTTTAAAATAGTCTAGATCAAAGGTCTTACTATTCTTTTTCTTTTCTTTTTTTGGTACTGGGGACTGATCTCTCTACCTTGTGCTTGCAGGGCAGGTGGCAGAACCACTGAGCTAAATCCCCAGCCCTAGATGAAAGTTCTTTATTAGGTACATAACTTGCAAATGCTTCTCTCATCTCAGGGTTCTTTTTTTCTTTTTTCTTTTTAACTTTCTTGATGATGTCCTGTGAAGGCCAAAAGTTTTACATTTTTGTTTGTTTGGTGTTTTTTTGTTTTGTTTTGTTTTGTTTGGTACCAGAGATCAAATTCAGGACTTTGCACTTGTGAGGCAGGTGTGGTGGCACTGAGCTAAATCCTTGGCCCAAAAGTTTTACTTTTGATTAAGTATAATTATGTATTTTTCTTTGCTTTTGGCATCATATCTGTGAATTCTTTATTTACCTGGGTGTTAGATTTTAATGAATTTTTCTAAAAATGCAAAATGCATGGGGTTATTTTGACAAACCAGAGTGGAAGCCATTGCTCAGAACAGGCGGGAGAAGCCTACAGTAGAGATGGGAAGCAAGCTAACCAGAAGAGTCAGTGAGACTCCATAACACTGCCATGTAGGTGGTACCTGTTGTTTACCAGGGATTTTCCAAGCTTTATCTGAATCAGGTTGCTTGATTGTTACTACAGTCCTCTGAAGGACTAAATTTTGTCAATCACGGTTTTTGAATGAGAGCATTGATACAGAGAAGGGTTAAATAAAATGTGAAAGACACCCAGTAAGGAGGGCTTTGAATCCAGGCCATCTAGTTCCGCAGGATGTGCTTTTAATCATCATATCAAACAAACACAGAGGTGGCAGCTGTTGCAAGAAGCATCTGTTGAAGGATTAACTGAAGTTACTTAATTAAGACAATTAACTAAATGAGTTGATAGGACATCTGGGCTAGTTCTTCTCCCTTCACATTTCTGCCCATCACTTACCGGCACAGAGATTGGGAAGCGTAGTATTTGGCTCTGATATTAATTTAATTCATAGAAAAAATT